CTGCGCGCTCCACGCGGGATCCGGGCCCCGCGGAGCCGTGTTCCCGAACCACGCCCGCGTCCCCGGAGGAGCCGGGCCCCGGCGCGCGGGTCCAGGTCCCGCGTTCCCTCCGGACCGAGGCGCCGCCAGGTGGCTGGAATCCCCGGCCCGTGCTGGACAGGCTGAAGCTGAACCGCCAGCAAATCTCGGCGGCCGCCGTGGTCGTGAACAAGGTAGTGGATCGCCTACTTCGGAGGCTGCAGGACCGCGAGTCCGAGTTTAAAGGCGTCACCCTGCTACGCACGGGCAGCTACTACGAGCGCGTGAAGGTGAGCCGGCCTGGCGCGGGTGCGCCCCCCGACCTGTGGCACTGCGTCCTCTTTCCTCATCGCCCCCACGCCCAGCCTCCCCGGCGTCCCACACATCCCCAGCTTGCTTCTCTTCAGAAGTAACTCAGACTCTAATCATAATTAGACACAGTTCTAATCGGAAGTAGGAGGGCGGGTGTTGGTTTATTTTTCTACACATCTTTGGTACGAGCCAACCCACACCGATGGCCAGCTACTCTCAAGACGCTGCTTTGGAGGAATTCAGATGCCATACACATTATTATTATGTTCGGTGTGCCAGAACTGGGACTTGGCCGCAGGGCCGGCCTGAGCACTGCCACTTAGATTTTTCCTTCAAAGCTAGAACTCTATCACTGGAGCCACAGCTCCGCTTCTGGGTTTTTGCTGGTTAATTGGAGATAAGAGGCCCCCGGATGTTTTTGCCTGGGGCTGGCTTCAAACCGCGATTCTTGGATCTCAGCCTCTTGGCTAGCTTCAATGTGTAGAAATTTTGGATATTTATAACATCATTCTCAGGCCACACAAAAATGATCAGGGCAGACATCCATGCCAGGAACAGTCTATGCGAAGCATACTTGTCCTTGTGGGCCTTATTTGGCCTGGGTGCCAGAAGTTCCCTCTCCCTGAATGCATTCAAGCTCTGCCCCTCTAACTCTGTTAACTGAGTCAATTCTGTCTGGGATCCCTGGAAGTGGGCTATAAAAAAATTCCACCAAGGGGCTGGGAAGGTGGCTCAGTGGTAGAGCGCTTGCCTTGCATGCATGAGGCCCTGGGTTCGATTCCTCAGCACCACATAAGCAAAAAGAAAAAACCCGAAAGTGGCACTGTGACTCAAGTGGTAGAGCACTAGCCTTGAGCTGAAGAGCTGAGGGACAGCGCCCAGGCCCAGAGTTCAGGCCCCACGACCCGAACCCCCCCCCCCAAAGAAAAATTCCACGAAGTTTCTGGGCACCAATGGTTGACACCTATAATAGTTCCGGTTACTCAAGAGGCTATGATCTAATGGTTGTGGTTAGAAGCCAGCCTGGGCAGGAAACTCCATAAGACTTTTTTTTTGTTTTTTGCCAATCTTGAGGCCTGGGCACCATCTCTGAGCTTCTTTTTGCTCAAGGCTAGCACTCTACCAACACTTGAGCCACAGTGCCCCTTCCACCTTTTTTCTGTTTATGTGGAACTGAGAAATTGAATGCAGGGCTTCATGCATGCTAGGCAGCACTCTACCCACTAAGCCACATTCCCAGCCTTCATAAGACTCTTAATCTTCAGTTAATAGCCAGAAGTGCAGTATGGTTCCAGAGGTACAGTGCTAGCCTTGAGTGAAAAAGCTAAGGGACAGCACTCAGGCTGAATTTAGCGCCTCTCTCTCCTTTTCCTCTCTCTCTCTCTCTCTCTCTCTCACACACACACACACACACACATTTCCACCAAATTAATATAGTTAAATGTTTTCTATGAGGAGAATATCTCTACTCCATAGGAATAAATCCTTAATCTTCTCCCCTCCCATAACTCCATCCCCACTGACCCCTTTCTCGTTTTTTTTATTGTGTCATGGTGCTAGGGATTGAACTCGGGGCCTCCTGCACACCAGAGATACCCCCAACATCTCTTTGCCAAATCTAATACAAATGTCATGGAAAGTTCTCAGTGGAGAGTTGAAAAGAAAAAAAACAATCCTGCAGATACAAAAATGTATACTTCTTTTTTTTTTTTTTTTGGGTCCGGTCATGGGCCTGAACTCTGGGCCTGGGCGCTGTCCCTCAGTTCTTTAGCTCAAGGCTAGAGCTCTACCACTTGAGCCACAGCACCACTTCTGCCTTTTTTTTTCTGCTTATGTGGTGCTGTGGAATCGAACCCAGGGCCTCATGCATGCAAGGCAAGTGCTCTACCTCTGAGCTACCTTCCCAGCCCCTAAAATGTATACTTCTTAAACATACATACCCATCTGATTTAATTGCTTTTCCTTTTTTTTTGATAGGCAAGCACTCTTTCACTTGAGTCACTCCATCGTCCCCTTTTTGTGTTGGTTTTTTTCTTTTTTTTTTTTTTTCCCGGTCGTGGGGCTTGAACTCTGGGCTTGGGCGCTGTCCTTGTGCTCTTCTGCTCAAGGCGAGTGCTCTACCGCTTGAGCCACAGCGCCACTTCCGGTTTTCTAGTGGTTTATTGAAGATAAGAGTCACTCAGACTTTCCTGCCCGGGCTGGCTTTGAACTGTGATCCTCAGATCGCAGCCTCCTGAGTAGCTAGGATTACAGGCGTGAGCCACCGGTGCCTGGCCTGAAAACTTTTTTGCCTTGGCCAGTCTTGAACTGAGATTCCCCCATGCACATAGCTGGTATTACAGGTTTGAGTCATCTCACCTGGCTTGATACACTTGCTCCATTTGTTTTCAAGTGATTGAAGCATTAAAGTAATACTATTAGTATAAATTGAAGGTTAGGGAACAAGTACTTGCTTCCTGACAAGTAATAGATTCCTTGAGGGAGAGAAGTGAGTGTGTGGGTGTGTGGTCGAGTGTGAGTCTATCTGTCTATCAATCATCTCTTGGTCTGTCTGTCAGTCAGTGTTATGTGCCAGTACTGGGGCTTGATCCCTAAGGAGCCTCACTCACTTGGCTTTTCTTTCTTTCTTTTTTTTTTGGGGGGGGTCTAGTTGTGGGTCTGAACTTCGGGTCTGGGCGCTGTCCCTCAGCTCTTCAGCTCAAGGCTACATTCCACCACTTGAGCCACAGCACCACTTCCGGCTTTTTTCTTTTTGTTTATGTGGTGCTGAGGAATTGAACCCAGGGTCTCAAGCATGCAAGGCAAGCGCTCTACCACTGAGCCAACTTCCCAGCCCTCACTTGGCTTTTTCATTTAAGGCTGGTGCTTGACCACTTGAGCCACACCTCCAGTTCTGGCTTTGTGCTGGCTAATTGAAGATAAGAGTCTTGAGGATTTGTCCTCTTAGGCTAGCTTCAAATCTTGATTCTCAGATCTCAGCCTTAAGATCTAAGTTCAAGCACAAAACAAAACTAAAAACATCATTTGACTGGGCATTGATGGCTCACACCTATAATTCCAGTGACTCAGAAAGGCTGAGATCTGAGTATTGTGGTTCAAAGCCAGCCAGGCAGGAAGTCTGTGAGAGTCTTATCTCCAAGTAACCAGGAGAAAATCAGAAGTGGTAGAGTGCTAGCCTTGATCAGAATGTTCAAGGACAGTGCCCAGGCCCTGAGTTCAAACCCCAGAACCTCCCTCCCCCCACCAAACAAACTAGCAAAAAATAAAACGAAAACAAACCCATCAAAATTGCAGGCCATTATTAGTACAGGCAGATGAGCCATGCAGCCAATGAGATTGTGTCTTTCCTGTCCTACAAGTGATTATTTCACAGGTATTGTATAGCCCATAGGCTGGACATTCATCAACCCTGTAATTGTATTAATTGTAGATTTGACTCATTGCCTATTTTCCAGCAGGGTCCCAAAGCCCAACAGGACTCCGCTGACTTAAGTTCTTCTTCAGTCTCCCCTATATTCACAACTGTTCCACGTTGAAGTTTTTTTTTTTTTTTGTCCGGTCGTGGGGCCTGAACTCTGGGCCTGGGCTCTGTCCCTCAGCTCTTCAGCTCAAGGCTAGCACTCTACCACTTGAGCCACAGCACCACTTCCGGCTTTTTTCTTTCTGCTTATGTGGTGTTGAGGAATCGAACCCAGGGCCTCGAGCATGCAAGGCAAGCACTCTACCACTGAGCCACCTTCCCAGCCCCCCACGTTGAAGTTTATAGAAAAGCCAGGCAAGCAGATAGAAGAACAATATTACTCCTATATACTTTACTCAGTGTTTCTGTTTTGATATATTTATTTTTCTCTTGCAGCACTTCGAGGCATGCTACTGAACTATATTCCTACTTTTTAAAAATATGTTTTTTATTGAAAAAGTACTGTAAAGAGGGGTTATAGTTACATGAATAAGGTAATGAGTACATTTCCTATTGAGCATTGCACACACTTGAATTTCTGTTAGCAAACACTTGGATTTCTCTTTTTCCTTTTCTTTCCCTTTCTGTCTTCCTCCCTTCATCTCTTCCTCTTTCTTTCCCTTCCCTCTCTTTTCCTTTCTTCCTTCCTTCCTTCCTTCCTTCCTTCCTTCCTTCCTTCCTTCCTGCCTGCCTGCCTCCCTCCTTCCCTCTCTCCCTCCCTCCCTCCCTCCCCTCTTTCCCTCCTTCTTTCTTCTTCCTCTCATCTCTCTCTCTTGTCAATGTCTTATTTTTCTATGTCTTGTCAAAGTCTTAATATATAGCCAAGGCTGGCCACAAACTTATCTATGTAACCATAACCGACCTTAGAACTCATGACCCACTTGGCTTTACTTTCCAAGTGCACCACCATGCCCAGCCTTTGATTTCAAATTTGTGTTCTGTTTTATATTTGGTAAAAGAATAAATAAAATATACTTCTCAGTAATTTATTTACATGGTTCTATATGGGCACTGTTCTCATTCATATATTTTGTTATATCAAATTCTAGGTAAATTTCAAAATATATGGGGAATAATTCCTACGTATTCCAACTAAGAAAGCTGAGAATTGATAATCCAGGTTCAGAGCCATCCAAGCAGACAAATTGAGAGACTTTTCTCCAGTTAACCTGCAGAGAACTGGAAGTGGAGGCATGCCTCAAATGGTAGAGCACCACCCATGTGAAAAATAATCTTGAGCCAGGTGCCAGTGGCTCATGCCTATAATCCTAGCTACTAAGGAGGCTGAGATCTGAGGATCACGGTTCAAAGCCAGCTAGGGCAGAAAAGTCTGTGAGACTTTTTTTTTTTTTTGGTCCAGTCGTGGGGCCTGAACTCTGGGCCTGGGCACTGTCCCTCAGCTCTTCAGCTCAAGGCTAGCACTCTACCACTTGAGCCACAGCTCCAGTTCTGGCTTTTTTCTTTTTGCTTATGTGGTGCTGAGGAATCGAACCCAGGGTCTCATGCATGCAAGGCAAG